TGCGGATCCAGGACACTTGGAAAAGAGGTTTAAGGGAATGCCAGGCTCTGGAGGGGTGCGATGAGACCCCGGGGCTGGAGCAGGGCTCAGCCTTTGGCTACATCCCGGCACAAAGCGAGGCCACGCTTCCAGTTTATACAGTTTAATACATGTGAAACAAGATACATTTCCTTTTGAGTAATGAATGCATAAATAACAGAAGATATATGTGGATGCATAAATATGAGGCATGGAAGGAACCAAACAAAACCCATTGCTTTTAACTGCTTCAACAGTTACTGCTTTAACTGCTTATTTCCCCCCTGTCTGTCTTTTCACCCGGCGCTGGTGGCGCGTCCTCGCGACGGGCTGGGTGCTGCTCTGATGGAACATGGTGAAGCTGTCCCAGCGTGAAGGGTCGGGATGAGGGTTGGGAGAGGGCAGGACCAGAGGCTAAAAGAGAAAAACCAACCCCCAAACTGCAAAATAAAAGAGAAGAAATGGAGTTAAGAGGTGACCTGAATTCCTTGGGAGGCTTCGCTGGCGACGGGACGCGGACGTGGCCATGGGGGTGAGGAGGGATGATGGACAGGAGTTGTTCTCCTGCGAGGAGGACAAAGCATTAGCTTCAACACTCACAAAGAACATCACCTAAGACAGCGCTTTACACCTTTACATCCTGGAGCAATAACTTACTTTGAACTGCAGTAAACAAAATACATTTCTTAAATAAGTTATTATTTATTCATTTGGTGGGTTTTAGCTCTCCGTAAATTCAACTTTTTCCTTGTTTTCCATGTCTGTTTTTTCACAAGAAATCATGGTTGTGCACGTTAGTTCAGATTATTGCAACATTTAACCTGAATTGCTGTTCAAAAAAGCAGGAAATAAAGAAGCAACAGGACAGTTGTACAGACGAGAATGAAGAACTCATTATTGCACTGGCTACAATTCAGTAGTGATTTGGTTTTTTTTCTCTGTTATTAGGACAACTTCTAAAGTACAAAAGAACGTTTAAAGCGTCGGCTGTGCCAAGAAGCAGGTGGGATGATGGTGGAGCGAAGGAGAGGAAGGAAATGGAGGTGGAGAAAGAAGAGAAACCAGTTGGAAAACGAATGGTCGTAATCATTAGTTCCATGTAAACCCCAAGGAACCACCACCCAGTTGCAGAGTCACATGTAATGCAAAACCCAGTATCGTTTCTCTATAAAAATATGTGCATTATGAAGAGAGAGTTTTTCGTGGGTATATATCTTCTTCTTCTTCTTTTTTTTTGGTCTTTTTCTTGTTTTTCCTTGTTTTGTATCTCACAAATACATTATTTCTATGTATATAAGTGCTGATATACAGACAATGTACAGCTCCCACCCGGGCCCTCCCGCCTCACGGGACGTCTCTAAAAGGTGCCTTGTCAAAAGTTGAGCATCTTTATAAACCCTCCCCCCCCAAAAACCAACCAAACCCCAAAGAGAACCCCCCCAAATCCCACCTCAAACCCGAATCAATGTGATTGAGGCCATGGAGGCAACCCCCTGAAGCGACTCCACCTTCCCTTTAGAAAAGCCCCCCCAAACCATGTTGAAGCCCCGCTCCC